GGGTACTGTGTCTGATTAGGACCCTATGCACCTGCAGGCATCTCCAACCTTGCCATTGGGTACTGTGTCTGATTAGGACCCCATGCAACTGCAGGTATCTCCGACCACACAGCTGATTTCATCCACTGGCCCTGAATTTCCTTTGATATTCACTGGCTCCTGGAATTTGGAACTGAAGAAATTTATCCTAGAGTTAAGTGGAAAAAAGATATGATTCCAATATTTGCATTCTGTTAAAAGTTCTTTACGAAACAGTCCAACACAATTGGGGGGATTAACCCCCAGAAGTTCCACTCTAAAGACATTGGCTTCTGACACTTGTAAACTCCACAAGTAGGAGGCTGTCCACCCATAACAAACAGAAATAGCCCACCTAATGCTTCGCCTAAACTACTAGATCACTGGGGGTCCTCCCAAAAGACTTGTCTCATGCCAAAAAAAAAACTTAGTTTAGTGGATAAACAGCATACGTCTGAGCCTTCTACCATATTGATGATAAATTGCTTATAATTTACAGAAGTGAATGCTGATGAAATGATAGGAAAATGTGTACAAGACATGAAAAGACCATTCAAGCATAAGGAAACCCAAGGTAAGTAAGATATCCTCAATTCAAAGTTACATTCACATATATTCCTCATAACACAGCACATTCACTTCTTGGCACACAACCTAGAGAATTGCAGGCACACATGCAGCAGGAGACATGTGCAAGAAAAGTCATAACTCCATGAATCTTAATAGCCAAAGTTGAAAATAACTTAAATTTTCATCAATACAGAATATATAAATGAACTCTCATATTCATAAAATTAATACTAAAAGCAATCAAAACAATTGGACTATAGCTACACTCAAAAACTGATGAACTTTTCAAGTAGAATATTGAATGAAAGACCAAGTTACCAAGTGATATAAACCATATGATTGAAAATTATATAAAGGTAGAAAACAGTGAACCAAACTATATTGTGTAAGGATGCAAAAATAGGAAGAAAAACTATGATGAAAAGTAAAGCACTGAAATTATTACATTATTCTAAGCCATGGTTGGAAGGAATGGGCATGTGATTGATAAGGCACATACAGAGAACTTCTTTGGCAGAGGTAAGGTTTGCTTTGACCTGAGTGCAAATTATCTAGGTGCTTGTTAATTATCTATTCATTACACTCTTCACCCATATTTCATGTATATATTTCACATGTATTATATATCACAATTAAATAATGACAATGGCATAAATATTTATTGTTAAGCAAAGTGGGCAGAGAACTGTCTAAAAGTATATTTTAAGGAATAGAATATAACTTAAAAAGAAATTGTCAGAAGGAAACATTGATATGCAAAAAAACCCCACTAATAAACAATAGGAATAGTAGATAAAATAAAGCAACTATTTTCTGAATAAAGTCTTCATAGTACTTTCTAATGTAAAGATTAAAGATGATAGAAATGAAATATTTACAAAAATATTATGTAAGCTAATTGGGTTGTGAACCCTGTTATTTTGGGGGAAGGTGGCCCAGATATGGTTAAACCTTAGATAGGTTTAAGGTAATAATAATAAATAAATAGGTATGGTAAAAATTCAAGGATATTCACTAAAGGGAAATAAAAAGTATATATCCACTGAGTTAGTGAAAGAAATAATGGAAGAAAGGAAAACAAAACAGGTCAAAGGAAATCAACAAAAATTTAACTAAAAAACAAATGTGGCAAAAAAAACATAAAAATAAAAATTTTGAGACAAATAAAATTATAAAACTATGCAGTCTAAAGGAGCATAAGGAGTCATAACAACTAAATAGGATGAAGTATCCTGGAGGAGATCCTGGGACAGAAAAAGTCCATTAGGGAAAAATAAAGGAAATCTTTGGAGAAATGTCTGTTCAGGTCTTTTGCCCATTTTTTAATTGGGTTGTTAGTTTTTTTGTTGTTGAGATGCATGAGTTCT